TAAATAATACTACTACGTTACGTTAGTAGTAGTAGGTCGTATATTACTAACTACTACTAACCTACGTACTACTATAATACTACTACCTACCTACTACTATATATATATATATATATATATATATATATATATATATATAATCAAATTCTGGTCTACAAAACAAATTACTTAGTAACAATGAACAGCCATCCCCACAGATTTTCATCCTCACTATGAGTTTGCAATAGTATGTCCATCTCTTATTTTAATGCACTGATTGTTGGAATACACTTTAAAATGTTGGATCTGGGATTCCCATCATATAATAATTTCTTCCTCTTTGATTATCAATGTTCAGTGACCAGAAGGATATGCTACAAAAAGACTAGGTGACCAAAAAATACCTGTTCACGGAGCTCCTCCTTACATTTAGCAATGTCTTCATTGATTTCATATTCTCTATGTGCTAGGTCAGGCTGAAACAAAACAAAAATACAACCATATAAAACTGAAAACTTTTGCTAAAAATAAAAAAGTAACAAATCTAAAACCTGGAACCACGGCCATGGCCGTAAAATCTGCACTCTCGTAACACAAAAAATTCCAACTAATTTAATCACCTTCCTAACTTTTTGAGATTTTTGGTCCACCAGTAGTGCCCCCTCCCCTCTACACACACCTCTCTCTTTTCTTTTCTTTATTTCCCCTTTTCTAATGGTTCACCATGAATGTCTTTTGTTTCATTGTGTTATGAAATTCTCTCTTTTATGAAGTACATTTTAACAAACAATGAAAAACTTAAAGTGCACATATGGTACACAGTATTCCAAGAAAGTAAAAAAGGAAGGATACAGAGGAAAACTGCAGCAAGTGCCACTTTGATAAACAGATTGAAAGCAAAACCAAAATCAAGAGAAGATGGACCATAAACTGAGAGTGAAATTACTCCTATCAAAGAACCAAAAAAAAAAGCAGTAAATGTCTTGTAAGTCATATAAGGTGCATCAAGACATATTCTTACAGAGGGAATTTGCAACTACACATGAGAACATCAATGATAGCTTTCATCCAAAAAATACATAAAGATCCGCATCAGATACTTCACAAAACTAAGGTAATCATAAGTAAGACAATTTCATATAAAGGAAAGAAAACCTACCACCACCTCGGGGAAAAGTCCAATACTGTGAAGCTCCAGTAGAATCTTCCCATCCAAGGACATCTGATGATAGTCAACTTCTGTAGACTGTGATACATTTGGACTCTGGCCAACATCTGCAACATTCTCAAAATCTGAATGTAGGCCATTCCGATCAACCAGTTCATCATTGTATTTCCAAATATTGGGAGCTATATAACCATTGGAAGCAGATCTTTCACCATTTAAAGAACTTCGTAAACTCAGACCATTGCAGTTGCTTGATTCTGTCAAAGGAAGTATGCCAGACTCTAAACCGTTAATATTTTTGAACTCACTCTCAGTATACTTATTACTTGTATCAGATAAAAAACAATTGTTCATATAACTTAAGGATTCGTCTTCTATTCTACTAGATCTATAGTGTTCTTCAATGTTGTCTTCTACAATTAGAGCTGAAAGAAGCCTTTGAGAAAGTGGGATGACAGTGTTGTGCCATTCCCCATTATCCAAATTCCCTGAATAAGCATCCGTGTCTATGGTTTCATTCTTAGAGGGCACATCCTGGCCACATTCATCAACCATCGCATTTTCATTTGGAAGAGCACTACAAATGTCTCCAGAAACAAGGGCCAGAGATAACTGCTTCACATCGAGTGCCTTAGCATCCTGAAATCAGAAATGGAGCAGTTCACAGGTCTAATAAAATAAATGATCAAGAAAAAAATGCACACAAAAGTAAGTAAAAAATAAACTTAAAAATAACGAGTGGTCCACACTAGAAGCCATCTGTGTGTCAAGACCACAACCAATGGTATCTTTTACCCAGAAAATACCTCTACCATTAAGTTATAAACATAGAGCCTTATGCATATATATGCCTATAATCAAGCGCCTCCAATGCAAAACACACTATTGAAGTCAATCCGAAATGGACAGACCAATCAAGTTACTTGACTCAGTGTTGGCAAAATCAAACCGGAAAGGTTATCCGGACATGGGCCAAGAAGCGGTTTAACCGGCCTAACTGGTAAACCGGCCGATTCAACCGTTCTAACCAGGCAAATCCCAAGTGGTCAAAAAAGTGTTGAAAAAAATAAAAAAGACGCAAAAAACTATATACTAAAATATAAAAAGTATATAAAGATTGATTAAAACAAAACACATTCCAATGAAGTTAAAAATTAATGAAAAAAATGGATTTTAACGAATCAATTTGTGCTTAGGGTATTTTTAAAATTTTCTGAAAAGGATGGGAAAATATAAAAGTGAGTATTAATGCCCAAAACAAATTTTAATCTTTACCATAATGTAAAGAATATTAAAAAAATACATTACAAACCAAATTCCTTATTTTTGGGAATTTATATACATTTTTTTGAAATTTGTTTTTGGTAAATACCGGTCGATCATCAAAACCGGAACTAGCCAACAGATCTAACCAGGTGGTTAGCGGTTAGATCACCCGGTTTTTCTAACAGTGACTTGACCACATTACCCAGGATAGGAAGAACAACTGCTTAATCTTGTCTAAAATAACCAACAGACCGAAATTCTGATTCAGGGTGACATTTAGAGTTTCCTGTAGTCGATGATGATGATAATTCCTTTCTAGTCCCCTGATAATTTTCAATTTAACAATAATTTTTTCTACTTTTCAATTATTATTTTTTTGGGTTCTCTCTAGCACAAATTAAACTGCCACTACATTTTTCAAACACGGACAAGAAATCCAGCACCACCACTTCTGTCAGTGGAGTCAATTTTTGTACTGACTTTGTGCACATGCCCATGACTGGAGAAAGGAGAGTTGGAAGGAGGGCAAGCCCTGCCTGCTGGCCACACAGTCCTACATGGACGATCGACAGAGAGAGGCAGATATAATGGCTTTACCTACAACAACCAAGAGAAATATGGGCACAGGCCTGAGCAACCTGGCCACCACTCCAAGGATAAACACAAGGAAGCAAGAGCAGTGTCTCCCTGCAGAGGCACAGCAGTGACAGTTCTGCCTCACCGTGCAAGTGTGTGTCGCACGTGTGTGTGTGTATGTGTGTGTGTGTGTGTGTGTGAGAGAGAGAGAGAGAGAGACCAACCAACACAAGGGAGCCCCAACTGTTCACCTGGCCCACTCCGTGTAAGGAGAAGGCAGCAGACAAGAAAGGGCCCACATTCTCTCCCTCCCTCCTTATAGGGAAGGTGCACAGTTGGTTCCACTAGTGTGAGGAGTGGGTGCCAGGGGTATTCATATACAGTTATATACTTATTAAGGGCAGTTAGCCATTGTGTAGATGAAACAGGTGTCCAAAGTAGACACCTGAAAGCAATAAAATAAATTTTTTCTAGAAAAAGGGAAAATATTGGCAAGTATCTCTTTCACATTTACAGATCCAAATCAGAAAATAATGAACAGGTAGAAATAGTTGAAACAGTTTAAGCTGAATATGAGCTACAATTCTTCTTTGAATAAAAAAGGAGAAGAAAAGGAAGAGAAGTAGCCAGTTTGCTGTGGACTGGTCAGATACTTCCAGTTTATCAGTTCAGGTCAAGCTGCTCGAGCTATCTACATCGCTCATTATTGTTTCCCCCCACCACAACTAACTGGGCTAAAAGATAAACTGGTACTAGTATGACCAGTGCCCTTACCAGTACAGATACAGGACTAGATTTACCTAAATAGGGATATAAATCTTGTTAAAACAATGTTTCTTTTTTAGAAAAATTACATGAAAAAGGGGTGTGTTGTTAAAACAATGTTATTACAAAACAAAGCTACATCATAAGAGCCTGTGCCAAATATATGAAACATTGGATACAAGACTTGTGAAAAATAGCTTCTTGATAACATGGATACATATGTGGCGACAAGTAAAAAAATGCTCACAATACCTTTGGATTCTGATCAGCATCGAACGGAGAAATATTTGCATTGGAAGCATCAGCCATCTGAATCTGTTTCCATGGACAAACAAGATCAGCAATGAATGAGCGAATATCTCATTGCCTAGTACTGATACCGGCAGTAGGTATTAGTTCTGACATGCAATGGTCCAAAAAGTTCTTCAAGTATGTCCTATGTGGATGTGCAATGGTACAACTTCCAGAAATGAGTGTAGGAATCACTATCCAGTTAGTGTTTTTAGTGTTACTATATTTTTTTTATTTTTTATTTTTAAAAAAGAAAAAGAAAAAAACTTAAAGTCACCTACTTAGAAATGATAACATTTATTAATAAGGTGCCATTTATTCCATAGAAAATTGGCACAATTTGTCTTACAGTTCAATTTTCAATACAGCCGCAGTATAAAATCACATTTATGAATCAATATATAGTTACACACAACCGTAGATCTATAAATTTGCAAGTAATTTAAAATGCATATTATGCAACAATAAAGTCAAATTTCATCATTATAAAGGAAAAAGTAAACTCTCTCCATCTTAAGATAATGCACATAACACATACCTAATAATATCAGGGTACATTTTTTAATTTTGTTAGAATGGGTTCCAATGTACAGATTGGACACTTCTACATATTTTGGGTCACGTTACTACTGCAGATTGGTATGCATTTTATAGGTATTAGTACAAATATTTTAGCAATGATCTCTGAAACAGTACTGTACCAATACCTGAAGCTGGTATGCCTAGTAGGCTGGAACGGGTCACATACCCGAACCAAGTTTCTGAATAACTATATATGGTTAATAAAGTAGTCTCTCATGAAATAGATAATAGGATCATATGTACGCCAGAATAAACTCCCAGATATACATAAAGTTACATGTTGCTCATTACCTGTTGCTTCAAAAAGGTAATGTCTTCCGCAGAAACAAAAGCAAATATCGGTTCCATATGCTTCCAAAATAAGCCAGAACAAGCCTGACCTGTGATAACAACAAAGAGGGATTTACTTATAGTAGAAAAGACAAAATTTGAGAGAGAGCATGAAGAACTCGTAACCATATATTTACTAAGGCAGGTTGTGTAATGCCTACAGCTGTCACTCAAAGCAGCACTTGCAGCAGCCAATAACTCTTCATGGTCATCATATGACTCAACTGAAGAACAAGGAGTATATTAGCCCAAGTCTCGAAATAACACCACTAATGAGGTAAAATGAATATGAGGTAACAAAAAGAAAGATTTTTACAAATTAACACAGAGGCCAAATTACCTGCAACCTCTGACAATCCATTGCTTATGCCATGCCTAGGCCGAGTAAATGCCTTTCGGTCCGATGACCTTTTATTTGGTGGACGGCCAACCTTACTGCGTCAACAAAATAAAATAAAATAAAATAAAATAATGAGTGACCAATACAAAGGGATCATTATGGTTAAACTACAAGAAAATATACAACAATCCAATGGACAATGTAATAACAATAGTTCATCAGGTTATCACAATCCACATAAGTGGATGGTGATGACGAGAGAAAGGAACACCACATTGGGATCAGATATTGTTCTGGCAGGTCCAAATCTTTCTCCATCACTCTAGCAGATGATGATAACCCACTGAACTATGTTAAGACCAAAGTCCATACGATCATAGACTACTTTCCCAATAACTAGCAAGGTTAAATGAGCAACAGTCAAGATAAATCATCCCACCTCTCAATCTTATCACTATTCTGCCGGACACTTCTGAGCTGCTTTGCATTAACAGCATCATCTTTTTCCATTGTTGGAGACATGCCAGCCCTCAGATAAGAACCTCTCCCAGAACGACCTTGTCTCCTGACCCCATCTCCCAGACTTTCTTCAGCAAACACTTTGTTCTTTCTTGAAGGCAGCAGAACGGTCGAAACCTTGGGAACAATTTGACCAACATTCTCATCTATTGCACTCTTTCTCCTGCCCTTCTCCTTTGGCTTAGTTTCAACAGCTCCAGATTCTTCACTTTCTGACAAACCAGCGGAAGATAGACTATCTCCGATTAATTTAACCTGCTGTGTATTTTTGGACAAACGCCTAGACGGCCCCAAACCACCATCGGTGCTAGTCAATTTGGAACCAGCATCTGTACTTGCAAAGCCTTCAGAAGAAGTAGGAGCTTCACGGTTAGAAACAGGTGGGACTAAATTTGTCCTTGCAACTCGAGCCATCTTTGGGGGTCGTTGGCCTCCCCATTTAGCCACAGGAGGGGATGATGAACTTCCAGACATGGGGCGCTTGCGGTTACCAACCCCACTAACTGGCTGAACTTTACTTGTGGAGGGATTTTCCCATCCCTCAGAATTTCCAACCGCACGAGGAACACTAGAGGATGACTTGACCAATGTAGCCGGACTAGATCTCGGCCCTCGAGTGGTATTTCCTTTTGCCATTGATGTAGGACTCGCTGCGCTATTATCTTCACGGATTGTAGGCCTAGATAAAAGAAATTGTAATAGCGGTCACTATAGCCACAATAGCCAACAGGATAATCCTAAAACTTAGAGCTTAGCATATAAAGAATGGGACAGTAAATCTTTGTGGAAAAACAATGAAGCAGGATCTCTGAAATGAAATCTCCCTCTCCCTGATGGTAACATTTGACAGGCTAAGGCCAAAAAGATGTTAATGGAAAACATTAGGGGCTCTGTATTTACTTGGTGATGCTCTTGGGAGTTACTCTTTCTTTGTCCAACCCGATAAAATGATCCTTTCTATCATTTGAAATGGAACCACTGTCATGTTCACTCCTTTGCAAGGCACGAAAACTGGAACTACCTTGAGGTAAGTTAGCATCCGACTTGCTGGCTCCTACAATTCCAGAAAGCCCAGACCTACAAAAGTGAAGGTCAACAATAAGTTTAATCAAATATAAGAACATGTATCAGCAATAAAAATGAAGCATGTGAAATAAAAGGATAAAACACCCATATCGCAATAAAACCATACATGACACATGCATGTGTGCATGTGCATAAGAATACAGATATTTTGGTGTTTTTTTTTTTTTCTTTTCACATACTGAGCCTATGCTGGCTTAAGGAAGGGCAAAACACAGAGGCGAATAAAAGAACAATGTGGCAAGCCGTTCCACACACCTAAAACCATGGCCATTGCTCAATCTTGACCGAGAATCACCACCAAGTCTAGGCTGTATCCCTCGTTTGAGTTCTCGATCACCATCCAGCACTTTGTTGACACTCACACCTGTACTTCCGGAACCATCTATCTTCATTCCAGAGCGCTTCTTACGCAACTTCTTTTTTTCCCAGCCATCCCCACCAGATGCTAATGGCCTACTATTATCTTCAGACTGAATCAGACCCCCATTTCCAAGCCTAAAGAGGTCTCTGTCCCTCTCTGAGGCCCCGGATGGTCTAGCTGTACCATGATCCCGTGTATCCACCTACAATGAACCAGAGCTTAGAAACACATACTTTACCAAAATAATGAATATAACTCCATGACTAAAATCTAAGGTGCACAGTATTGCCAGAAAAGAAGAAAGTGATGAAGATGAATGTTATTTTGCTAGCTAAATATGGAGATCTGCCTCAGCATTTTTCCTCAAATAAAAGATCCCTTCTACGCGTTTTCTATTAATAAAATGCACCCGTTGACCTGCCAAAAGAGAAAAAAGAAAGAAAAGAAATGCATTCACTGCTTACTAAGAAGAACATGAAAGAGATAAAAAGTGCAAGACATAAAAGTGAACCAAGCAGAAGAGGAAAGAATCAGCCAACAGGAAGATACATTTGAATTGCAAAAGTGGACAGCTAAGGATTGAGATGTAGTACCAGTTCAAAGCTGTTCTTATCTAAACTACTAGTTGAAAACTCAAAACCTAAACAGGCGGTATTGTCCCTTCATGTGGTCATCCTATAAATCACTCATGCATAGCAGTGGTAACCATTCATTATTTGATTTGATAAGGATGCAAACCACCAATGCTCCAATTATAATAAAAGAAGTTAGAGAATGCAGAAAAAACCACCTCAAATAATGCTATATGGAAGGAAAAAGGACAAGTTCTTGCCAAAGAAAGGGACAAATCAATAAACTAAAAGATAATGACTAAAATGAACACCTAAACCAACGAATATATATGAACCTGTAAGTCCACTGCTGATGCTCGCATGCGTCTATTAGGAACAGCACTCTTACTCCTATCCTCTGATGCATTTGAGGTCAGCTGACTCTGAGATGCCATTTTGACTATGCTACCCCCTGCTACAGATAAGGCATTCACACGTTCGCTTGGAGAGACATCAATCCTCCCTCGTTTTCTTGGAATAGTCGCTTGTCCATACTTTTCCAATTTGGATGTGGCTTCATTCAAATTTTTCACCCGCTCCCTGATTGAGATACATAGATCTCATGAGATGAATCTAACTGAAGCCTCAGAAGCAGGGATGCTAATATTGGCCACATTAGACAAACCATGAGGCTATACATATGCTATGAAATCCCATGCAGACATGGAAACAAATCTTTGCAGCAGGTGCCAGAGAAAAAGCCCTAGGCCCGCATATAAAAAATGCATGCACACCCATGATGCATAAAAGCATTTTCAAAACGTACATTTCAAGAGAGAAAAATGAAAACAGAAGTAGTTTAACAAAGTGAGTGAATGAAAAAAACATAGTCCAGTGGATCACCACCATCCAATGAAATGATGAAGTGGTGATGGAGGGACTGGGCCCCACCATTGGAACATGTCATGGTCAAATTCTCTCTATATCCATCCTTTCATATTACACTTCCCCTGAGAAAGTACCTCGCCCGAACGAAGTTTTCATGGATACCGGCTTTAACACGTTTGAGTTCATCAAGGGCTAGAGGGGGGAGAGATTTTGCTTGAACAGTCCCTAAAGAAGGGTCTTCAGAAGTAACGCCAAGTGCCATGCTGATCACCTTACGAAGTTCCCCAGGTCGTGCAAACTTGAGGTCACCCATTGAAAGTGGGTCCACTAGTGAGAAGCTCATTGCATCTCCATGCGATGATGCATGGTTTCGAGATGCATTTGAAAGAGGAGTGAGAGTTCTATTCTCCATCCCGTCACGAAAGCTGCTCGATCTCTCCAAAGAGCCTGCTGCATAGCACCCACGATGGCCACTTGGGTAGCTTGAACCATATGTATGACCATCAGGGCTTGCAGAAGAGAGCTCCAACCGTGCACCAGTTGACATGGTCATGGCCTTCGTATGGTCTTTGAAGAATGTTGTACAAAAAGATGCAAATGCATCAAAAGTGTACCATGCATAGCTACTGAACTACAATCCCCACTTACTGCAAAACAAAAAAAAGTGAGTACAGTGATCATTTGGAAATTCAAAAACCAGTGAAAAGAAACCAATATAGCAGCTAATAAAAATTAATCTAGAGAAAGTTAAAAAACAAGAAAATGACTATCACACATGTATTAAGGTGCTAAACAACCAACCCAGTCAATTAGAATACCATCCTCAAAATTTGTGGAAACTTAAACAAAATCTAGCATTTAAAACATTGGTATGACATATAAGAAAAAACACTGCCAAAAAAACAAAACGGTAAATTATTATGGAAGTTACGGCGCAAGCACTTCTTAAGTAATGAATCAAACATCACCTACAAAAAACTCCCACAGTGAAAGCCATCTTGTTTCTACAAATCTTATCTATAAATAGAATAACAATTCCATCAAAGAAAAGGTTTCGTGTATCAGAAAAGGTGTGTCCCAACATTAGCAACAGAAAAGATTTTAAAACAACATTGTATAATCCAAAAAGTTGTTGTGTCCTAAACAAAAGTCACATTGTTTCCGAACATACATACCTTAGCCAATTTTTAAACAGCGTCTGAGTACAACAATAACCTATATTCTTTTAGCAACATATTCCCTTCTAAGTGGGAATAAGATGTCTTCATCTATTTTTGGTGATTCTAGTTTTCTTGTTTTGAAAAAAGGGAAATAGAATTGCTGAAAATTGATGAAGCTGTAAATAGTGCTCCAACTTCAAAAAGTGCTCCAACTTCAAATGAGACAAACATCATGAACCCACCTTTCGAACACACCCAGTTTTCAAGAATTACCATTTTATTACAAAGATTACTTCAAAATCCAACCAAACCCCCACCCTGCAATAACAAATAAAAAATAAAAAATAAAAAATAAATAACTAATAATAATAATAATAACAATACACCATAAAATCTTCATTCTCCGGGCCTCAATTTACTTTTTCCATTCTAATCTATAGATTTAGGAATTCTGACCCTATTCTAATTTTGATTCTATGATGCACCAGGAAAGTGGCTCCAGCAACTTGACAAATCTTGAATCTAATACAGACTACAAGAAAATGCATATAGCTGTAAGTTATACAAAGTCCATAGATGATCATCAAAGATAAAGACTTAATTCATGCACATGCATGCATAATATACAACACAACATCTAACTCAGATATGGTTGCTTTTTATCACGGGAAAAAACTACAAACATGTTTTATTATCCAAGGACCAATAAAAATACAGAAATTTGTATTAAGTTAAAGCACAAATGGAATCCATTGAACTGAAATAGGATTTATCAGAAAACAATTACTTTAAAAATATATCCATATCTGTACAAAATTCCCTCCAGAAAACTCTTCAAGTTCAAACTAAATCCAAAGACCCCTTAAGTAAAACAGAGTAATTCAAGGTATTCCAATATTCCCCAAATCCATCTAACTTAAAAATCGTTTTTTTCCTGCGTTTCCAGATAAAAATTCATCCGCATGAACTCAAACCCGAGTTTTGAGTTCACATTTAAGACCATGCTAAAATTTAACAGAACTCAGGTTGCATCATCTTCAAAATGTTAACCCTATTCCATATTACAAAACCAATTCCAAGATCAAACTTAACACAGAGATAAGCGTGAGGAAGAGATCACAGATAAAATTAACGGCGTAACAAGCAAAAACAAAGAAATCAAGTAACACAGAAATAAAACCCTAGGAATCAGATAACGCATGCACACATAGTCTTAAATATGGAACTATAAAGTAGAGAGAATTTAGAGAGAGGAAGACAAGATCACAAATTTAGAGAGAGGAAGACATAAAAAGATGACAAATTTCAGCATTATTAGTAATCACCTGCAATGAATATCGCATCACTCCAGAAAAAACCCTAGAATTTGATCACAGCTCATGGAGTAAAACCACAAAAACGAAGATATCGCGGGAAATAGAAGAGCAATCGCGCCCACTGTGCAGGGATTTTTTTTCAATGGCGTCGGGTTTTAATGGAAAGGCCTTTTTTTGTATCACCAAATTAAGACATGAGCTATGACACCTTGTAATATTTAGTTCCTCCTTTCAAGGACCTAGAGAGAAAAAATGCACTTAACAAACACTAACCTTTCACAATTAAATACTTAATACCCTTACATATCGAAGCGCTCGATAAGGGCAGAATCGGGCCGGCCCGGTCGAGGCAAACCGCCAAGATTTGGCCCCAAGCTGGCCTTGTCTCACAGGGCCGAGCCGGGCTACAAAAAAAAATTGGCAGGATCTAACCTAACTGAAACCTATCCCGACCCTTGGGCCACGCTTCGTGACATAGGGCCGGGCCATATTGACCAGCCCATCGCCGGTCCTGACGCTCAATATAATTTTTAGAGACAGAAAATTCATTAAGTGGGTTTTACAAATCTAATGACACTTAATCTTTCTTGTTGAAGTGCTTAAAATACATAGACTCCATGTTCCCCCTTTATTATGAAAATGTGTGTTGGTTAATTCTTCATTAATATATAGGGGGCACGTGCCCTATGTTTTGCTTGGCTTTGGGGGCTCTAGAGAAAAAAAAATACTCTTATGTCTTAACAACGTAGGCTTGATTTTTAGAGAGGGAAATGTCTAAATTAAGTTTTAATTACACAAAGCTTGTAAAATTTGGGATTAAGACGCCACCTCTTCTTTCTAAGTTAGCAATGGTGTCATTATTAATGCAATGGTTAATGTTATACAAATTTTAGTAAGTTGTAGAGAGAGAAAATGTTCATATTGGCGCTTTAAGGCTCAAAATCAAATTCGTGGTATGATTTTTTTTGCTAATCATAGTCGTTATGGTGCGGACACTATTCTCGCCAGAGTCTACGAAGAGAAGAGAAGTTTCCTTTTTCCTTTCTTTTTTTTTTTTTTTTTTTTTTTTTGAATCTTGAATCCACAAAGACTAGTATAGGTAGACTACCTGATCCAAATCGGGGGATCAATGGGAACTGACTTGGTTCCTAGTTGGAACTAAGAATAGGGCCGGTTCCATAGAAATGACTAGTTCCTCGAGGACACCGGCATGTTCTGCCAAGAAATTGGGCCTAGATCGCCTAGTTACAATTTTGTATTCTTTTTTTCTTTTTCTTTTTAGTGAGTGATTCTCATCTAAGAGAATCACTTGGATCACTAATTCAGATTAGCGATTCACCAATGGGGACTGATTTCTTAGATGGCCAGTTCACCTGGTCAATCTAGGTTTTAACACTTAGCACTTAGCAAAAATACCTTATATCACAACATTTGCTTTCTGCAAAAGAGAGAAATGTTTGCAAGTGTTTCAAAAATCAAAGAGCGAATTACATACAGGCACAAAAAAAAAAAAAC